TGGGTCGGTAGGGATTGGAGTTTGGGGTTGGGGCAGGTCCCCGGAATGAGGGGGTGGTGTGGGGGAGAGAAGAAATTGAAGGGGGTTTCTAGGTTTGCGGGGGAGGGGTGTTCATGGGAGAATTGGGGGGAAGAAAGAAATAGGAGGTGGAGGGTGGTAAATCATCGCACATACGGTCCAACCAGTTAGGAGAGAATCAATAGATTCCTTTTCAGGAGCAATTCATCTTTCCCGAACGCAGCATATAACTCTCCGTTGGGATGCCAAGAGGTCTGAATAATTGGTGTCAATATGCCTTTAAAGTTACACAAAAAAAAAACTTTAAACACAAATGAAATAAGACAGGAAACAATAACCTCGTAAGGTCAAAGACCTAAAATATGTCGCATTCTAAATTCCTGCTCTACCAAAAACACCTAATTTGGTTGCAGCAACACCTTTTTTTTTTTTTCTTCTCTCCTTTCTCTTTTCTTTTTCCTCTTCTCAATTTCGATTTCGCTTTCTCTCTTGTTATCTATCATTCTCTCTCTCTCTCTCTCTCTCTCTCTCTCTCTCTCTCTCTTTACTAAATTGGATGAAATGTTGAGGATTTAGATGGTATGGGGGAAATTGGAGAAAAAGAAGAAGTTCATATCCTTAATTTTCTAAAAAAAAGGATATGGGGTTAATTGAAAGATATGTACAAATTTAGGGGGCAAATCACCACTTAACCCTTTGGGATAACTTGTGCCTGCTTCTTACTGTCCTAAAAGAGCTTTATTTTTACTTAATTAACTAGTGCTAATCAATGATCTGCCTCTTAACAACTTCGAGTCATATGTCATCTAAAGTTTCAACTTACTTATCACTAGATTAATTATGGTGCAATTGGGATCCACATGTTCTACTTGGTGCGTATGAATTTTCCACTATATTCATGTATGACTGTGTATGCGTCATTTCTTGCTAACTCACCTCACTAAGGTCTTTGTTTGAGAATGGCACCCATAATTGGATATTGGGTTTAAAACCCTCATC